GAGGGAAGGGGGAGCACCCCTCAAAGAGGGGAGAGCGAGGAGTGCCACGAGCAGCACCTACAGCGAGGATGTTCTTCTCTGCTGCTAGGAGGTGCTTCTCGAAGTCGTCGACAGTGAGAGTAGGGGGGTCGAGCGCTAGGAAGTGGTCCCTGACCGAGCTAAGAGTGTCAGGGAGGCGGGTGACGAGGAAATAGAGAGTGAAGTACATCGGGGGGGGGGGGTTTGCGGCGCAGAACTCGGCACGAAAGCGGGTGTCCGTAGCGCGCAGGTGAGAAATGAGGTCCTCAGCAGTGGTGAACGAGGAAAGGTCGGGGAACAGGTAGGGTACCATGAGTCGACCTATGGCTGCAGCGGCCGGGGAGGAGTAGCGCGCAACTACAGCGTCGTACATTGTCTTAGCAGTTTTGTGCTGGCTGAAATGCGCGCGCTCAGGAATCGGCAGATGGTTCCTAATAGCTAGGCGTGCTGCAGCATCACGAGTCTGCCACTGTGATCGTTCGAGAGCAGGAGCATCGGCAGCAGGGGCAACGGCAGTGCCAGACACGTAATCGAACAGTGAGACACCCTCTTTAGCATCAGTCAGAAGGAACAGTTGCAGGTCGTCGAGCCACACAGCGAACTCTATGGGGCGACCGTCAGGCTCGAACGCAAGAACATTAGGCGTCGTCATATCGGTAGCAGGCAAAGGCAGGTAGGAAGCAGGCAGCTGACAGGGGGCACTAGATAGTAGGCCGCAGGCAAAGACAGAGACAGCAGGCAGTAGACAGGAGGCAGCAGGCAGTAGACCGCAGGCTCAGACAGAGGCAGTAAGCAGTAGGCAACACACGCAACGTGTTGGGCAGTAGCAGGCCGCAATCGAGCTCCTAAGGTGGTGCTCTAGACAGTAGCAGGACGTGCAACCCTAAGACAGCGGGCTCGGCAGCAGTAAGCCGCACAGGCAGGCACACGAGCAGGGCACGCGCGGCTGCTGGCTGCGTGCGGCTAAGGGCTGCGCGCGGCTGCTGGCTGCGCGCGGCGACTAGCTGCGCGCGGCTCCTGGCTGCGCGTGGCGACAGGCTGCGCGCGGCTCCTGGCTGCGCGTGGCGACGGGCAGCGCGCGCGACTGCGTGCTGCGTGCGGCGACGGGCCGCGCGGGCGTAACCTAAGCAGGCTGCGCGCGGGCGGCGTAAGGGGCGCACGGGCGGGGCCGAAACGGGCGTCGCGGGTGGGTCTAAAACGAGGCGCGCGGGCTGCTTAAGAGGCGCGCGCGGGAAAAAAAAGGCCACGCGCGTGCAGCCGAGGCGCGCGCGGGCTCTAGGCAGGGTAGGTACGTTTTTAGTGAGGTGAAATAGGTAACGGTGGGCCCTAATCCTAGGTCCTAAGGACCTATGCTCTAGATGCCATGTCAAGACTTAGGCAAGGTAATCGATGAGTATCGAGAGTTTGGTACAAACAATATAACCTAAGGGGTTGTACCCCACAGTGAGTACCCCACTAGAAGCCTACCCAAACTACAACATATAACTATATGTTTGACAAGCTCGAGTAGCCGTGCCCGAATATTTTTTCCACCTGGTGGCTCGTGAGTCATGACACTACTATGGCCATGCGTCGTGCATCATGCTGCCACATGTCAAGTCACTGCCACCAGCGGAAGGCAAGCAGAGCCGTTTGTGTAGCCGTGCATCGTTCCGATGGGTTTTCATATTCGACAGAAACGATGAATCGTTTCCCACTCAACGGGAGTTGCTCACTTGACCCCGCGAACATCCTTACACACCACGGCCAGCGACTCGCAAAAAACAAAATACAGCACCAAAATATCGAGTATGAGAGGATTCAGGTCAGTGAAAGCAACGCAAGGAAGACTCGATCCTAATAAGCACTTCCTCGAATTCTATGTTATGCAGAGTTGCCACCCTCCGCATTCGAACGCCCCTTTCTTGACGAATAAAATCCTGTAGTTGTCGCCTTATGTCCGCGCGGATGGCTACTACTAACCATGGGGAAGCGGTGCTGGAAGAGAGCGTGCTTGCTCTCCACCTCACAGATCCCCCTCCTGCCGGAAACTCACACGAGGTGAGCGCGATGACAGAGCATCCGATTCTCTGGTTTCGCATCACCTCCCTCGTCCACCTCTCGATTCCTCTCTCCAACTCCCTATTCCCTCCTCTCCTCCCCCCATCTCCAATCTTCTCTCCCCCAAACCCTTCAGAGCGTGGACGTGGTTGATCTGCTGCCCGGCCCCATCTGGCACATCATCTTCCGCCACCTGTTGCTACCGCCAGCCAGCACTTCTCGGTTAAAGAAACGGGGCGAATCTTCTGAGGAAACGTCACAGGAAGTCTCATCACAGGGAGCAGGCCGCAGTTTGTGCAACTTGATAGATCTTCTATTTGGAGACGATTCTGCAAGTATTCAAGAATGGGACGAGTTCTTTGAGTCAATGGATTTGGAAGCTGACAGCTGCTCGTGCGCCTCTTTGCAGCGGGAAGCCGACTGCTGTTTGTGTGCCACTTGCACTCAGCAGGTTGCCAGGGAGCAGCATGAGAAGGACACGAGGCGCTTCGGCTCCTCCTGGCATGTGCTGCGCTGTGCCATGGCCAGCAAGAGGCTTCTCCTCCATGCCGTCTCCTTCTTCGTGAGTGGTTTGCTGCTTCTGCATTCAGTCGTACAACCTCCTCTGTTATGTATTTCATGCCATTAAGAAGGTTCTTGATGCCGTTATGAATTCTCACTGGGCAGGAGCTTGAGCCCATCTCGTTCGTGTTTGACAGCCAGGAGCCCCCATGGAAACGAATGCTCTCGTTTTTCCTCAAACGGACAGCTCTCAAGTCCCTTGACGTTGATTTCACCAGCTTGAGGGACCTGCAGACCCTCACCTGGCTTATGGCACCTTCTTTGCAGTCCCTCACAAGCCTGTGCCTTTGGCCCATGAACTCTACTACCCGATGTGAGTCTGCCCAGCGCAAACTGATCAATCCGGCCTTTCTCGAGGAGTTTGAACAGCTGCAGCGGCTGGAACTAGGCCGCGGAAGGTGGCAATTAGGCCGTCTGAATGCGGCACGGTTCCCAGCGCTACGGGGTCTGACCATCACACATGCGGATTGCAACGAATACGATTACAACTTCCTGTCATACATCTCACCACAGCTGCATGAGTTCTCACTCTCATCCATCCCACTGCAGCTATATGAGCACTCTCACTCCTCCTTCGGTCGTCACTCTTGCATCCTCAATCTCAACTTCTCCGTTGCTCGAGTAATCACAATTAAATTTGATCGTCAAGAGCTAATCCTCCGCTTCTCCCTTCCTCCCACTCTGAAGGCCTTTTCTGTCGTAGCGGAGGAGCTAGAGATCGATTGCAAGTGCGACAGCCCCCTCTCTCTCGACTTTCTTACTCTGATTGGCTACTCGCAGCTTGTCGTTTATCCACTCCCACTTGCTTCCGCCAAAACTGTCTGTTTGTTCGGACCAACCACCCAAAAGAAGCCCAGGTCGTCGTGGGATGTACTTGTGGGTCAGCTTTCTTGGACCCAGCTACTGAGCAGCATAGCGCCAACGGTGGAGTCGCTGGTAGTGAAGTATGGCTGGCTTGTGAAGAGCGTGATTGTTGAGTGGAGCTGCCTGCGCTGCATTGCCATTGGTGTGAATGACATGTTTGGGAGCAGCAGCAGAAGGCGTGAAGCCATAAGGCCTCCTTTCATGGATGGTCTAGCGCTATAATCAATCTTCTTTGTGACAAGCCAGTGGCAGCCCGAGACGCTGGCTACTATGCAAACGATTTCCCGTCCCTCACATGGTACTGCATTCTTGGCCGGTCGTTTTGCTGGGAGGAGGAGAGGGGGCAGCAAAGCAGTGAGCTGGTGATGCACGTGAGGGAAGGCCGTGGTGTGCGTGCGAGCCAGGGCATGGTGCAGGATGATCGTGTCATGAGGTTCCTTGAAACCCTTTCTACCCACCTGAGGTTGTGAGTGAGTGGAACCAAGTTTCCAGGTGTGAGAGCTGGGTGTGAGGGGGGTATGAGAGGGGGGTGTGAGAGGGAGGAACAGGAAGGCTGATGTCTGTTGGTTGCAGTGGTGGTAATGGTGGTGAGGTGACCATGGGGTAGTGTGCACCTGATGTGACGGTGGAATCGGTGGGGATGGAATGGTGGTGGGTGCTGGCAGTGGGGGTGGCAAGGTATACGTGGCAATGCAATTGTATGGATGGGACAAACAATCGTAATGTAACTACTACCTGCTACACGAGCGCTAGTCAGGAAATGCATGCTCACAATCAACAGTTGGTGAAGAGGTACGGTACAGGAGGATGCAGAAAGAGGATGTGATCACAATCTGATGTACTGGTATTTGCTTTATGAGTGTCCTTAGATTTAGTTGCAAGTGTTCCGTTCCTATGTCTGAGCAGATTTGGTAGCAAGTGTTCCGTGACTGTGTCCTTAGATTTAGTTGCAGTCACCTGAAAGTTCTTTTGAGTGGCAACGTGAAGAGGTCTGGAGAGAAACAGCATTTGAGTAAACTACCCACCTACCTGGTCACAATAAGATATATTAGTCTGAAACTACCCCACTCCCTTCCTTCAAATTCAATTACCTGCGATGTCTACACCAATGAATGCTAAAGTTAATACAAAGAGCAGTATGTCCCCCAGAGCCTCCCTTTGTACTTCAACATATAAGCCTCATCTTTATCAACACTGTACCCTTCAACCAGCTCCCTATTCAGACTGTGCATCTTCTCCCTCACATTCTTTGGTCGCCTCTCCCCAAAGCAATTGCTCGACACGCCGCTCCTCCCCTTCCTCACATGCACTACAGGGGTCTCAGCCAACTCCTTCCCCTGCTTCTCCCAGTAGAACGAGCGACTCGAGATGCAGTACAGAGCGAGGGAGGGGCAGGATTCCCGTAGAGAAGCAAGGGTGTGCTGCTCGCATGTGCGGGTGGGGAAGAAGATCGCTTCCAAGTTTGGAGCCTTGATAAGTGAAGATTTTCCTATTTGCTGCTCCTCCTCCTCCTCTTACTATTCCTGCTGCCTTCCTTCCTCCTCCTGCTGCTGGCCCTCCTGCTGCTGCTGCTGGCACCGAGGTTGCCCCCGTTTCTGCCACCGCTCCCTTTCCAGCTGCCATTCCTCTTCCTGCCGTCGCTCCTCCTCCTGCCGCCGCCGCTGCTTCTCCAAGAGCCTCTGGCTGTGCTCCTGAAATTTCTCCACAGTAACCTCCTCCTCGCCATCGTCCCGACGCTTCTCAACCTTTAAATCCATCTCAAACCGCTCCTCACTCTCCACGACAATCCCAAGGCTGCGTAGGCAGCTCCACTCCGCATCCACCTTCTCTATAGGCACACCATGCCTCACTATAAGCACCTCCACTGTGGGTGCTATGGCGGCCAGGCGTGCAGTCCAGGAGAACTTGGGCAACCTGCGGAGGTGCATGCGCTGCCAGTCTGGAGGCGGTTTAGGGGATTCCCAATGAGGGTAAAAGTCATCGTCGCCAGGGTAGTAATCGATGGGAGGGCCGTTGAGGTAGGCGACTCGGGCGGATGCGAGGCGGAGGGAGGAGATGACGAGCCGCTCCTGGCCATAAAGTGAGAGCTGGTCGAGAACGAGAGGAGCGCTGCTCTTGCAGGCGAGGATAAGCCGTTTGGCCATGGCACAGAAGGTCGTGAGTGAGGGGGAGAGGGTGAGGAAGAGCGTGAGGGTGCTCTGTGCGAAGTAGAAACGCAAGACGCGAGCTGAAGAGAAGTCGAAACAGAACCTGTCGTTGGCACCACAAGGTCCCAAGGAGGGCTCATCCAAATTCCATGTGTTATACAGCGTAAATTCCGTGAGCCGCGGCGTGACCGTGCCCAGATACTTAAAATCCACGAATCTCCAATCCACGTTTTTTAGGGTCAGACTGCGCAGCGACGTGAACTCGTCTGCCCAGCCATCCCCGAGACCCCACTTGCCCCGGCCCAGCTCCAGCCGCTGTAGACGTGGGCAGTGGAAGGAGCGATTCCAATACTCCTGCTCCACCTCGCGCCGATCGTCCTGCTCCACGTCGTCAAACAGCTGGGAGCAGTCCAGAGAGCCACGCAGCTTGAGGCTGAGCGAGGTGAGGGAGGAGAAGTGCCACTTGCCCTGCGAGTCGAGAGTGTTGAGCTGCATGATGTGCGTGTAGGTGAGGGCCAGGGACCTGAGGCCGCGCCAGCGTAGGAAGAAGGCAACGCTCTTCACCCACTGCGGGTGCAGATCATTGTAGACCAAGGATATGGGGTGATGGGCCTGCAGAGTGGAAGGAGCGATGGGATAGGATGGAAATAGAGGTGTCTGATAGGTTGTTCTTTTGACCTATCCGGACCCGTTCAAGCAGAGACAGCTCCGAAGGATCAGAGGGCATGCGTTTCAGAACCTATGACCGATGTCAGCATTTAGCACGCTCAATTCAAGAGGCAAGAAGCGGAGAGAAGGCACACTGAGGCACACACTGTGATAAAAATGGGCTGTACATATGACGGTTGCTGCACTTCCCGAGTGCAACGGGTCTGTCGAAGCCAAGGATTTCAAAACAACAATTCAAGCGCAGGGAGAGCAGCACTTACGGAGAAGGAGAGGACGTGAGTGAGGAGCCTCTTGCTGGCCATGGCACAACACAGCAGTGCCCACCCACTGGTATAGCTTTTAGCATTCTTCCGGTGCTGCTCGACTGCTGTGAAGTCAGGGTCCACAAGTTTCACGGGCAGGTTTCTGCCCGCTGGAGGCTGCATTGTGGCGGTGAGATACCAGGGCGTCTTTCGTCTGCTGCGGGCGAGGGGGGTGTCGGGGTGGGAGGAGCCGGGCGGTAGCAGCAGGCAGCGGAACACCCGATGCCAGAGGGACGCCGGTAGAATGTCTATGGGATCACGGGGGGTGGCGGCTGGAAGGAGAGAGGGGTGAGATGAGTGGGAAAGGGATTGTTGTCGTGACAAAATAAAAAAATGACACCATTCGGAATGGTGGACGGCGGAGCGTGGCCTCGTATTAACTCTTTCCATCCTGCTCCCTAGCTGTGCTCGAACACACAGAGAGTGTGATTTCCACATCCAGCTCAACTCGCGTCTGAGAGAGGTTCTGCTGAAGTCGACGAGAAGGAGCTTGGTGGTGATAGCAAACACGTTTTTAGGTGTGATAACACGTGCGTTCTCTATTCGAAATGTTTACGAGAAGGGTTGTTCTAGCATAGTCCTCGGAGAGCTCGGTTTGAGCAGTTCTCGGGATAAAAGGGAGTTTCAGACGTCTCAAAAACTCCCTTATATCAAGTGTTTCCAAGAGGGTTTTCTCCACCATAGTCCTCGGAGAGCTCGGTTCGAGCACTTCTCGGAGTTGGTGGCGCGAGCAAATCCTGATGGTAAGGCAGTGGAGATGTTTGGATTATATCATATCACACGCGTTTGTTTTTCCAAAAGCTATTTACGGCATGAGCGACAAAGAGGAGAGAGGAAGCCACGTATTCTCTTTTTAAAAGGCTCTTACGGCGCACCGTGAATGTGATAAAGAGTAGTAATGCCAGGGATGGGATGGCAACCGGAACAAAACTTAAATGAGAAGGGAAGCTACGGAGTCACAGCGCTTGCACTGCGTGTATACCGTAGCTCGAAAAGAAATGCCCAGGGGGTTTGTATGAGCAGGAGGAAGTCTAGGTGCTTTGCGTTCAGAGTGTGAAAGCAATGAGGTAAAAATAGATTGCTCCGTCGAGAAGAATGATATCCCTTGCCTTTAGGTCGGCATTGTTTTTCTTTCTCTTCCCCTGCCGTCGCTCGCGCTCCCCCCTTGTGGGATCGTCAGTACGCTGCACTGATGTCATGGCGATCGAACTGTCTTAAAGCACCCAATCCGCCTGCGGTTGTAGAGACATATTTGTAATGTAACAACTCAACTTTATGCATTGGCATTCGTCATTACTAATTTCTAGCGTACTTCTTGCAACTCTAGCTAGTCACACAGCCAGTTGCTAGCCCGCTGTTGCACCATGAGAAAAGTGCTTCGAAACTGCTCGCAATTCTACGTCCTTTGGGAATGGCCAGACTTCCAAAATAACGCAGCATTCACTACTCACCCCATCAAGGGGTCCAACGATGAACAATCCTGACCTTTGGATGATGGTGTCAGATTCACGGATGACATTGAAGAGGTTTTGTGTTCTGCCAGCATTGCTTTTCCGTTTTGGGAAGTGGGAGGGTAGAAATGAAACTGGCGGGTGCTTGGGTATTCGTTGCGCGTTTCAATCTACTTGAAACTGGTTCCAAAAAGTCGGGTTGGAGCCACGAGGGGCGACAGAGAACTTCGACTGGCTACTGATAGGAACCCCAAGGAATAGGAACCCCTGTAAATATTGCACTTCTGGGTAACTGACCGTCCTTTATTGTGAAGCCCTTGTTTCTGGCGGGAAATGCTTTATGGTGTCTGACGTTCCGCGCCCTTCCTTGTGATTCGTCCATTCAAATTACTCGCGAAAGTGAGGCGTGCGATAAACAAGCTGTGCTGTTATGTGATTCGCCAAACGTTGAAGCTGCTCGATTGAATGACAGCATCAATCTGCGTTACACGATTTCATCGACGGAGTTGGGTGGGTTAGCGCCAATTGAGAGACACCGTCAAACGGGCATAGCGTTACTCCTCCAAGAACTACGCCTAGGTACCTACAGCCTAGAGGCTAGCATTTCGAATTTAGCGAGGTGCGTGAAGCTTTGCCACTCGGCAATTTTGAGAGTCGAGCGGCACAGTGAGTGGGACCATGAGACAGTTGCCGCTGCTGCTTACAAACATTTCTCCGAGGCTCCCCAAAACTGCAGAGGAAGCGTCTGTTCAAGTGAGACAGCTGCTGCTGCCACTGGTCAGCCATCCGAAGCCTGAGAACCCACCGCCAGCTATGGGATCCATACTTGCAGCGACACGCTTATCACGGTTCTTTCTTCTTTGTCCGCCGTTTCATTCTGACTGAAAGAGACTCGCTCAGAGGCACCTGCGGAACACACTGCGTGTCGCGCTACCGCCATCACGACGGCAAGCGGACCTCGTACTGGTTGACCTGCGAGGGTAGCGTTTCGTCGCCGTCGCGACGACAAGCGGACCTCGTCGCTTGCAGCATAGCGCCACGAGCGGACCTCGTCGTGGCTGACCCGTGAGGGTACATCGCGGAAAAGGTTTTTGCTCAAATTCGAGTTTAAGTCTGAAGGCTGCAGGAAAGTTGCAGACTTGTATCCTGAATGTATCCAAAAAACATAGACTGAAAAAAGCAACTCACACATGTCAGATTTATATGACATAGCTACTGTAGGCTATAGTGGGGTAGCACATATGGGGTACAGTTTTCTAGGGTTTACATTTGTACCCAACTTTCCCTTAGTCATTCTCATTCCTCGTTTCTTTTCATGGTATCGAGCAGGTTCCCTAGTGGGAACGATTCCTAGGGCCCACCACCACGAATTTTTTTTTTCCTGCCCAGAGCGCGCTTCGCTCCGGCCCGAGTCGCGACCTGTGTGCTCTCCCTACCGTCGCGCCCTCGCTAGGCCCCTCACGGCCCCGTCGCGTCGCCCTTAGCGGCCCTCTCACGGCTCCCTAGCGCCGCCCTTACGGCTCGTCGCGCCGCCCTTACGGTCCGTCGCGCTGCCCTTACGGCCCGTCGCGCCCGTCGCGCCGCCCTCACGGCCCCTCGTGCCGCCCTTACGGCCCGTCGCGCCGCCCTTACGGCCCGTCGCGCCCGTCGCGCCGCCCTTACGGCCCCTCGTGCCGCCCTTACGGCCCCTTGTGCCGCCCTTACGGCCCCTCGCGCTACCCTTACGGGCCCTCCCGCGGCCCCTTCGGCCCCTCCCGTCGCCAGTCGGCCCCTTACGGCCCCCTCGCGGCCCCTCGAGCCACCTTCCGCGGCCTCCTCACGGCCTGTCGCCGCCCTCGACGGCCCCTCGTGGCGCCCTTCACGGCCTCTCCGCCGCTCTTCGCGGCCCCTAGCGGCCGGCAGCCGCCGTCCCTGAGGAAGCAGCCGCAGCCGTCTCTGCAGCAGCAGTCGCCACAGCTTCTGCGACTGCTGCCGCGGTCGTCACCAACCACACCAGCCGCCGAGCCGCCCAGCACCCGAGCACCCGAGCCGCCGAGCCGTCCTGCAGCCGAGCAGCCGAGCCGCCGAGCCGCCGAGCCGCCCAGCAGCCGACCGCCGAACCGCCCGGGCCGCCGAGTTGCCGAGCCGCCCGAGCCGCCCGAGCCGCCGAGTCGCCCGAGCCGCCCGAGCCGCCGAGCCGCCCGAGCCGCCGTGTCGCCGACCCGTTGTCCTGCCGAGCCGCCGAGCCGCCGAGCCGCCCGAGCCGCCCTGTCCGGTAAGAGCAGCGCCTCTATCACTGCACTGCCCTTACCCTACTGTTCGCACTGCTAGTCTACTGCTGTCATGGCTACCCCTAGTGTCCTCGCCTTTGACGCTGAGGGTCGGGCCATTGACTTTGACGTCTGGGTAGATGACCTGCAGCTTTTCTTACAGTGCGATAGGGCAGACGGTCTCTCCCTCTTTGACCTCACCTCTGGTGCCTCTCCTGCCCCTGCTGCTGATGCCGACGCCACTGTTCGCTCACAGTGGGCCACACGCGATGCTGCTGCACGTCTAGCTGTGCGTCGCCACCTGCCTACCTCTGAGCGTGCGCACTTTAGCCAGTACAAGAGTGCTCACACCTTGTACGACGCTGTAGTTGCGCGCTACTCCTCCCCTGCCACTGCTGCACTGAGCCGCCTCATGCTACCGTACCTCTTCCCTGACCTTGCTGCCTTTCCCACAGTCGCTGACCTCATTACGCACCTCCGCACTAGTGACACTCGCTACCGCGCTGCGCTTCCTGCTGAGTTCTGCGCCAAGAACCCCCCCCCCATGTACATCACCCTCTACTACATAGTCACCCGGCTCCCTGACTCCCTTCGCGTAGTCAGGGACCACTTCCTCTCAGTTTGCCCCACCACTCTCACCGTTGACCTCCTCGAGAAGGCCCTCCTAGCAGCAGAGAAGAGCATAGTCGCTGTAGGAGCCTCTCGTGGTGACCCTCGCACCCCCGTCTTTGAGGGGTGTTCCCCCTCCCCCCTTTTGCCCTCTGTTGCCTCTGCTGCTGCGGCCGACCTCGTTGGTCTCGAGTCGGTCGGCGCTGCGTCTGCCCCGAGCGGGAGACGCCGCACCGGCAAGGGCAAGGGGGGCAAGGGTGCTGGAGGGGCTGGCGGGGGTGGCGGAGGTGGCGGTGGCGGCAGTGGAGGGGGTGTGGGTGGTGGTGGGAGTGGTGGCGGGGGTGGAGGTGTCGGTGGCGGCAGTGGAGGCGGAGGCGGAGGCGGCGGTGGCGGTGGGAGCGGAGGTGGCGGAGGTGGCGGCGGTGGAGGAGGCGGCGGCGGAGGAGGTGGAGCTGGTCGGGGTGGCGCTGGGCAGAGGGTCGGCTCCGGTGGTGGTCAGCGCCAGCAGCAGCAGCAGCAGCGGCAGCAGCGCACTCGTGACATCCCCCCCCCTCAGCAGCTCCGTGAGTGGTACGCTGCACGCCAGCGGGGTGGGGGTACTGGTCCGTGCACCTACGTCCTACGCACCGGCGACCGCGCGGGTGAGCAGTGCGGGGGTGCGCACTCCACCCAGCGCTGCTTTGGCCGCCTGACGGACGCTTGGTGTCACCAGTTCCCTGAGGCCACTGAGATCCCCCGCTGGGGCGAGCTGTCTAGGGCGGGTGACCTTGACTTTGATGCTATTCTTGCTGCCATGTATGCTGTGACTATTAGT